ATTGTTATAAATAACACATTCAATTGAACTAAACTATACATGCCTATTTAAATATATCTACACATGGCTTATGTATATCGTATATATACATATATATTATTCATACCTTTGGTGTATAGGACGCAAGCAGATTTTGACATAAAATTTTGGGGTAAAAAAAAGTGCGTCTTATAAACTGAAAAATACGGTACATTGTTTACAGGTGTGGCTCCTCAGAGCTGTTCAGAAATGTCAGTTTGAATATTTTTTCATTTTTCTTTGAGAATTACATGAAATAAATGTTAAAAATGACAAAATATCAATTCTAAAATATTTTGATTAACAATTTTCGTAATAATTAATATTATTTTTCTAAAATTTTGAAATCTGACATGCATGTGTGCACTAGACACCTGAAAGGTGTTTATTGACACAGAAACAATCAGTGGTACTGTTGTACAAGTTCTACAGTTCATCATAGGCCTTGTCATTATAACTGTTTTAAAAGATATTGGAGAATGTCTTTCCAGTTAAATTTTTACAAGTGCTTTAATTTAGTGCAAATCCCTTTTTTTTTCTATATTATTTTTCAATAACATTTTCATTTCTGAGAAATTATTCAAAGCTTCAAAATCTGATCTTGAATATAACAATAACATTTAGATCTACTGGAGAACATTTTAAACCATGGTGTAGGTTTAGATTGTCCATTAAGTAGTATACATATGAATATGTAATTCCAAAATATACCAGCATTTCAGTACAGCTTTTCAAGATACGTTAGATGTATTTCAACTGAAATGAAAAATGGAATAACTTTTGGTTGCTGTGGGAGGCCTAACAGAACCTTCTTTCGTACCAAATACAAGTTTCTTTTTTTATGGGCAACCTTCTACCAGATGGCTGAAGAAATTCTACCACAGTAGCCAAATATAGGAAAGAACCAATCAAAAATTGATATTATTTCCTGGCCTTAGAATATGATTATCCTGGAGTCATCAAGTGAATTTGTTCAACTCTTTAGTTGTTGTTTTTTTATTTCCTTATGTTCAAGCAATATGTGAAACCATATTTATTTCCGTTACGTGTATCAGAACAACATCTCATGTCGGACACTAAAGACTCCTCAAGGTGTGTTGGCTGGTCTTGGGAAAAGAGTGTCATCATTTATTTTTGGAGCTGTACCAAATCAATCAATGGAATCAGTAAGTTTGCTGTATTATTCTTTTTTGACTGCTAAATAAAAGATATTTCAAAGAATAGCATTTAAAATATTGTGACCAATCAAACATTAGATGTCACTGTTTTATTTTATTGGATGTTTAATTATTTAGATTAAGCCGTGTAATTGAGTAGAATATTAATCTATGTGGTTGTGCTAAAATATAGTGTATATGTATCATTAACTTATAAATTTCTAGTTTTGTTTTAATTTGATTTCTTCTGAGAAAACAACTTTTTTTTTTTTCCTGGTATGTGGAACAGAAACACCTGGTTCAAGTTGTTGCTGAGAATGGGGAGGAAGAGGAAGAAAAATATGTCTATGTTCTGAGCAGAAACACACTTCAGAAATGGTCTCTTGATATACAACTTCCAGATAAGGTAAATATATTTTATTACTGAGTTACTTTTTCTATATATCAGAAATTATAAAAACCTAAATTTATCCCTTTAAAGATGAGTAGTGTATCACCAGTATCAATTTCTCTGTGTTCTCACAATGGAAAATACTTAATCAAATTGCATGAAGCTTGTTACAAACTTTCTGAAGTTTCACTCTGTTTTAACAAACAATAGAGATCTAACAGGAATGAAAGGAGTATCATTATAAACTGTAAGAGAAATATCTAGACCTTTAATTAGTTAGAAAGTATTTCTAAACTTTGTACTGCACCCAACTTCATCTTTACAAAAGTACAACTAATTTTTGTACAGCAGTATTATATTTTTGACTACAGAGCAATAAAACATGGCATTTCTCCCCATTCCTAATATCTTCCAAGTAGTACTGTAAAGGTGATTTCAACCAAGTTATTCACAGTTGCGCGTAAACATAAAGCATAATAATGTAAGATAAATGAGATGTTTTGAGGTGTGCATTATGCATTCACAATACATGTTGCACACCCACCAGATGTGTTGAGGTTTGCATTATGCACCACCATATTGGAAGATGTTTTGGGAACATATAAAACTTACCAGTCAGACCATACACACTGAACAAAATAGATTAGATTATAAAATTGATAATGACATGGACATGAATCACTTTATTTCTTGGGTTTTAAATGGTGCCATGATAATAGGTGTATTAATAATTGTGAGACCTTCAAACTGAGAAGCTTGTGACTTATTATAAAGGATCAAAATTAAACACATTTTGTAAAAGTTGTCAGTTGCACATACTTCTAACTTTTAAAGGACAAAGTATAGATATAGTATTGTTAAACTGATCAAGTATTTATTCTCAATATCTTGCATTACCATTTTTTTTGTAAACAACAAAATAATATAAGTCAACCAGAATATATTATATTTCTACTCTTATGTTTTCTAGTTGCTGTTTGAGAGTGATATTGAACGTCTCATGAAAGAAGGTTTTCTCCAAGCATTATGGGTGAGTTGCTTGATGAGCTAGCTCTCTAAATAATATCTGAACAAGAATTGCTACAGAAGTATTTCTAGGTTAATTACATCATGAATTTTATTATGACAAAATACTTGGTATGAGTACTTCTTTAATTAATGCTAATGTGTGAGGTGTTTCCTAGTTATTAGCATGCCCAAACTGTGATTGTTGGTATTTGTGGCTGGCAACCCATTGCTGCATGCACTTCATACTTTTGGATCTTGGGGACACTGTAAGAGTTAGTCGTATCTTTAAATTCCACTGTTCGATCAGATGAGTTGATGGCAGGTATTGTTGACCATCGTTCCTTTACACCAGTATTTCTCAACAAATGTACTGTCAGACATAATCGAGTATGCTTCAGAATTTTTAAAAAGCCACACATGGGAAAAACAAGTAAATAAAATGTATCATTTATATTACTTAGTGTATTCTGTCTTGTTCTTTCAATGTACATGTGTGAGATATGTCACACTATGCTCCAATGACTTTGTACTTCGCGTGGTAATAAGAGTCATGTGTTGAGCTGAGTTTTCATAATGTGCTGGAGGGGGGGTGATGTACTACACACCATTTTTATTAAAGTAAGTGTGACCTTGGGCTGGAAAAGGTTGGGAATCACTGCTCTAGTCTATCATCTCAAAATAAGAGAAAACTATGTGTGGATAGCTCTTATGTAGCTTTGCTCAGCATTCCTAAACAAACACTTAATGTTGGTGCAGTATATAAATAAAAGCTTCTGTTGCCATTGTTTTCCGGAAGATTTTAGTTTATTACTTTTTCTTTAAATTTGATGGTTTTAATAAGAAATTAGTGTACTTTTTATATGGTTGTTTGATTACTGTAGCTGTTTTGTGAGTTGAAACAGATCTTATAAATTATCATAACAGAGTATAGTTTAACAAAAGTGCTTTTTCATAATAATGATAAATAAAAGCCAAAATTCTGTTAACATTTTGAAATTTAATATGAACTTAATGAAGTGGAAAAATAGCATTAGCATGTGGACTATCTTTTAGGCTTATTCCCAAAACATTAAAATTTGATAATTATTTGCCATCCCTTAAAGTTTTGTTAAGAAGTTCAAAGAACTGATATGTTTCTCTATGTATTGAAGAGAAAGTGTTTGTTATAGTTTAGCTTTGGCTTCTTTTCATAACTATTAACCTGAGAAATATCTCGATGAGTATATCGAGCTCTTATTAAACTTAAACTTACTAAGGTAGTTATAACAAAACTAGTTAAAAGTAATATGACAGTAATTTGGAATAAAGGGATTATGAGGAGAAACTCAGTGATATATTAAATAACAATACAGAGTTTCTGAAACTTGCCAAAGATCCAACATCTACAAAAGAAACAAAATTGCAACAGTATCTGTACTAGATAAAGAGCAAAATTTTAATTAAGAATGGGTACAGAGAAACTAGACCAGTTGTCTACCATGCTGGAATAATTTATGATTTAACTAAAATTCACAAACCAAACCAATTGTAAGACAAATAGTTTCAAACATTGGTACTTCAGTTGTAAACTATCTGGTTTTTGGAGTATTTTTTTTTAATGTATGAGTATTGGGTTCATTGCTAAAGATAGTTATGAGTTTTTGACTTCAGTTCTAAATTAAAATGTGTATGTAGCCAACTTTGATGTGCAGTCTCTTCATGTTATTATTCATCTACAAGAGACTATTGATTTTATCTTATTATGAGCAGTCTTTGTAAACACGCTGACACCAATTGCAGTTAAAGAATCACATATGTTTGATGGAACAACTTGTTACTGGATTGATTGTGTTAATATGGGAACAAAGCTTTTTATGAAGTGTTTGTTAAAAGGGTCTCCCATTGAATATAAACCACTGTTATTATACATTTTTGATAGATTGCACTTAATTTTGTATTTCTGTATTTATAGTATAATTTGAAAAATGCACATGTTTGTGTTAAGATTAGGGTTGATCATGGAAAGGTTTTAGTACATTGTTTTTTATGACCATTTATGTAAGGGGAGTTATTCTGAAGTTTATCACGTCTTGTGTATTTAACTGATTTTAGGAAAACCTGTGTAGATAGTGAAAAATATTTTGAGCTAAGGTCTTATTTTAAAGTCGGATAATGTGTGTGTGTGTGTGTGTGTGTGTGTGTCTATATATATACAAAAATAGGGTTAAAGTAATAAATTTTAAAGTAGGTAATTATGTTTCAAAAGTTCAATTATGAAATAGCTGTGAGATGTAAATATATTTGAAATTCTCAGGTCTCGTACTCCGTTTGTTTGTAGTTTCTTTATTTAAGTATTAAAAACGAATTAAATCATAGTTGTAAAAGCAATTGTAATTTTTATGTTTTTTCTATAAGTATAAGTTAATACATTTTTAAGATTATAATTTAGCTGTGAACCATACTGCAATTGGAAACTTTATTTCCTCTTATTATCATTATTATTATTACAGAACCGAGACTCCACACACTTACACCAACTGAAAGCTTGGGCCATTGACATGCAATTAACCAAGTAAGTTTACTGTTATATAAACATGTTGACTTAGTATATATTATGAGTATTTTATTTTTAAAAAAGGAGGAATACTGTCAGTGTCATGCAGAATGATTACAGCTGTACCATATGGTGGGAAAAATTGTATATCATGTAACAGTATGAGCTGACATTAGCTGTAGTCTGTGGTTTGGTCTCTCCTTTCTCTTTTTTTTTCTTCTAATATTTCTAGCAGCTATAAAGTAAATCTGTAAAAAATTGTGAATCTTAAAAAGTTGATACATTGTTTTAAATTTGAGGATTGAAATTAAACTTGTTTTGTTTTTCAGGAATGGAGTTTTGCTTCTCATGGTTGGATTGAATCCACAAGTTTCTCAACAGGTTTATTATGCATTTGGTAAGTGGCTCATACCATTTTAAATGATACATTTCTTTTAATTATGAAATTAGACTTATCCTTTTAGTTGCTTTTGGTAATTACTTTTGATCACTTATTAAAATATACATATATCTAAGGCTGGCTCTTATTATAAATATTTTAATGTACGTTTGTGATTTTAAGAGTTTTTGTTTCATTCATATATTATTTTTAGATCAATTGTATTGTTTGTTATTTTATTTCATTCAGTTCTGTGTGTGTTTTATGTCCATTTGGTATATATTTCTGTAATAGCCATTATTTTGCATCATAATTTTAATATGTGAAAAATTTTGTTTTTACTTTTCTTATAAAACAACTCGTACTCAATGTTGTACTTTAGTTTAATATTTTCATTTATGCACTTACAATTTAACATCCACATATTTTTATCTTTAGCATCCTAAAACCTACTTGAACACTTTCATATATTATGAAGGATTGGCTGCAGTTTTATATGAAATGTTGTTTTTCAGGCAAAATTGACACAGCTAATGAGAACAGTTCAGTAGGATTCTCCTCCTTCTGTGTGATCAAACCAACAGAAATTTACACAGTAAGATCACTCATTTATTGATGCATTGATTTGTTGGATGATTAGAGCATTGACTGGCAAAGAAAATTATAATAAAGACAAAAGCCTCCTATTTAGTATGTCTTATTCCAAGTTTTTTTAGTGGCTCATTATTGATTCCTCATTGATAATTAGCTAGTTTCTGAAGTCTTTTGAAAGGAGTTCTTTGTAAAGTACTAAAAACTCGTATTGTGGCTAATTGCATGATAGGTGTTGATTCTTGGTGTTTTTAGCTAAATATGTCATGTTATTTGTTTCTCTTGAATGAACATCATTACATGACAATAGTCACCTAAATAGTTTTACCACATAACTTTGAATGATATAATTCAAATCTGCAATTAGAATTTTGTTTTTACAATGAACCATAAATTTGTAAATCAAAATATTAACTATTCATTTTAAGTAGGAAAAGATAGTATACAAATACAGTTGAAATGTGTCATTAAAAGTTTTCTCAAATAATTTTGTGTACCACAAGTCAGCTTGACACAACGGGTGAGGCTGAGTTACAGCTATAACTTCAAACTTTGTAAAAAAATAGTATTAAGTGAAATTCTTAAAAGGATATCTGAACAAAAGGTAATATTTTGTCCTCAGTTTTGCCTAATGTGTGGAATATTATTATATATATGAATTGTGTTTAATTGATTTTCACACTTACATTGGCCACAAAAAACACACACTAAATCAGTTTGTTATTAAATGGTGAAATACATTCAGTGTTTACATTGTTGATCTTAATGTATGTTTTGATTATGTACATTGTAAAAAAACTGTTAATTTTTTTTAGCTAAATGTAACCACATTGTAATATTATCACTGGACTCGACAGTTGATTTGACGTGATTATGAATTATTTTCTTATACAGGAATCAGAGGAGGAGAAAATTCTCAACTACAAGTTTGTTTTACCCCAACTGGGTTGTCAGCTGGCTTATGTTTACAATCAACAGAAAGTCAAGTGTGTATCAGGTATTACAGTATAGTTCTCCCTCATCACTACTTCATATATATAAGTGTTGTGCTATTGCCATTGTAATTTGTTTATTGGTGTGTGTTTTTTTAAATAAATCTATGGGGCACTCACCAACTAAAATAATATAAAGAGGTGTCATAATTATCATATCCGTGTTGTGGTTCGTCTCGTATATTAAAGGAAACAGAATATAAAGCATTGGAGTGATCAGTAGTGTAGCATCTTTTTTTTGCTTGGTTGAAAAGATGCATCCAAGTAGTTATATCTAATATATTTAATTGTTTGATAAGCCTGTACGTTCAAACCATTTCAGTCTTCTATAAAACCTGTTAGATTAAGTAATGTTGTAGATCTTTGGACCAATCTGGTTAAAATCATTTAATTAAGCTCTTTGTACTTAAAAAAACTGAATTTTTAGGTTGAAACTTTTTTTTTTGACACATGTGTTAGACTTGTTAGGTATTTAAATGGGAAAAGAACCACTAGTATTGCCTACTGAGAAATTTGTTGGTTTCTTTTAATAATTAAAAAAAACTCATTGTTGAGGTTGAATTTCAAAGCATCAATAATTTGATGTTTTAAAATAATGCATATCACATGTATACGGTATTATATAATTGATAATAAATGTACATAGCTACTGTATTAATAATTAGTATTTGTTTTATTTAGTAGTGAACTCTAGTGAAGAACCAGATGTTTTGGAGTTTAGTAACCATGGAGACAAGATACTTGGAGCAGGTAAACAAGATGATGTTTCAGTCATCTTCTCTGTACTTTTAAAAACAACATAAAAGTATTGCATATGTATTTCTTGATGTATACATACCATTTCTGTTAGGTCTGAGTCAATATTTTATTCCAGGATCATGTGATGGCATACCTCTGTTCTTCTCCAACAAGTATGGGCTGTTGTCTCTTCTACCTACTGGAGCTGCTGCTGCAAAGATGAGGTTAGACTGTACAGAATTTTAACTTATTGTATATATTATGTGTTAGTTTCACAAAGTTTATTTAAAAAGAAAGTAGATATTAAAAAAAACTCATTTTTGATAAACTATAAAGCCTTTTTTAGCTGCTCTCAGGCAAGAATTGATTATTCATAGTGTGTGTGTTCTAATTCTTTATTTGAAGTATATTACTTGAAAGGTAGGAATTCACTAAGGTGATATCTCCTGCAATCTTTTAATAAACTTCAGTTTCTGCTCTTGTATGATCGCAAATTTTTTTATAATTCACTGTTTGGTTAGTTGTTGGAGTTTTATGTATGTAGTGTTTTACAGGCTTCAAACTTCATAACTAACCAGCAAAATATGATGTTATGTAAAAAAAAGTGAAAATTGTATAATCAGGTTTCTGAAACAGTAACCGATACATATATTGTGTTCATGTAGATGTTAGCCACATATTCATAACATATAATTCAACATGAATGAACTAAGGCTGAGATTTTTTACCTTAATAAATGCTGATTATAGTGAATAAACTTTAAAAATTTAATTTGCAATATAGTTTCAATATTTAAAAGTGACTTTAAAATGACCACTGCTTTCAGGTGACCAAATGTGAAATTAACAAACACTTTGATTGTTTGGTCATGTGATAATATTT